GGAGTTTTCGCCGTTTTCACGGTCTGAAAGTGAAAATTTTGCGCAAAAAACGCGTTTCTTGCGTTTTTTTAATGAGCGTTACTGGCTCACAATCGCGGTTCCCTTTTGAGCTTTTAAACGCGTTTTTCCAAATGTTTGTCTGCTTGGGTAAGTTTAGAATTCTGATATTTAACCACTTTCAAACGATTGTATATCTGTAAGCAAGCGCATGAACTTACTAAATTCTGAAAATATAAACGAACGGAGAATAACTTCATTAATACTAATATTTTTATTTATTAAAAGCAGCTTATTATATATCTGATTTTAGTATTCTATAAGAGTGTCATATACGTTATTTAGCGTGACATAATTATGACATAACTGCCATACATAATTATTGTACTAGTGTGCTGCTGTAAGTATTCCTAAATGATCTAGACACTCGTTTTACAAGAATTTGTATACAAAAATCAATTTACGAGAATTGTGTCTAATATTGAGAAGTTTCAAGCCTATACTGTATAACTCAACATGCTTATTATAATTTGAACCGGATAACATGGTTTATATAGGATTGTCACGTGTCGTTACTCTTATAGAGAGGGGATGACATTGTATATTCTCAAAAATCAGAAAGTATGGGTTGACTAAAAATACAAATTGACCATGATCAAAATTGAGGATGATCAAATGCGGAATGATATTGCGCCATGGATAGCTATCTATTATATGGCAAGCCTGTTTAAAGAGAAAAGGATAGACAAATGCATTTTCATTTGAAGTATTGATAAGCAAATAACAGTCGTCACGCTCATCATCGATGCGTGCTTTGTAGTATAACAAAATTTTAAAAATGGACAGAAATATTTTGTCCACTGGTCGAGATATTTTCTCTAATACGATTCTTTTTCGATGTTATTCGATCGAATCGAAAAAGATATCAATACACATATTAGTTTTTTCTTTTTATTTTCGCTATGACGCTTTACAAACCGAAGGAAGGTGAATTAGTTTTTTATGATGTCTTATCTACTTTGCTTCAAAGAATCTAGACAAAAGAAAACACTTGATATACGGCTGTACTTCGGACTTTTTATTTTCACGTTTATCCTACACGGGTAAACGATTATCTTATAGTGATATTTATTAGTCATTTTATAGCCACAATTCAAGGGCAAACACGTTCACTTAATATAGTTAGTGATGAGCAACTACAATCATTTATCAGGTCAACCTTATGTGATATTGAACAGTTGATTGAAAATAAACAATTGACATCGCACAGTAAACCATTACTAGTAGTTGCATGTGGTTTATTAGCCATTGACCTTGTTCTATTGTGTGAAAAGCGTTCCAGTTTTTTTTAGTACGTTCCAGTTCTATTGTGTGAAAAGTGTTCCAGTTTTTTCTAGTGCATTCCAGTTCTATTGTGTGAAAAGTGTTCCAGTTTTTTCTAGTGCGTCCCAGTTCTATTGTGTGGAAAGCGTTTCAGTTCTACTTTGCTTCAAAGAACGTAGACAAAAAACACACTTGAGATACGGCTGTATTTCGTACTTTTTATTTTCACATTTATCCTACACAGGTAAACGATTCTCTTATTAGTTAACATTCATTTATTAGAAAAGGAAAGCCATATTCATGAAGTATGACGAAGCTCTTTTTGATTTCTCATTCTGTATTTTTGAAATTTTAGTTTATTGATTTCAATTGCATACGCAAATTATTCTACGAAGCAGAGATGGACAACTTCGATTTCAACTCCGTTAGCAACCACTGTAACTCTTGGTATAACTCCGTAGGAACCGCTGAACTTTTATGTGTATTGGGGTCGATCTTGCCTAAATACACAGTCTAACTCCAATTCTTGCTTTCTAAATTCTTAATTCGATTTTTCAAGTTTTTACTTCGAATTATGCATAGATCGGTTTTTGGAAAAATAGAGCCTTTTTATAGAGTAACCATTTTTTAAATCAATATATTTCATTGAATGGAGACCTCAAACAATCGACTATCGATTTAGTGATCGAACTCAAAAATCGTAAATTTTTAATTATAATTCTTTTAATCTTTTAAAAAGCTATATGAAAATTGTAATGTAAAACCCCTAGACGACCGAACTTACGGCAATTCTATAAGGATCTTATAGAAATCTTATATAAGGCAGTCGATGGAAATGCGTAAGATAGTGATCAGATTCCTATACGAAGGAATATAAGAATCTTATAAGATTCCGATTAGAAAACGGTAAGACAGATTATATAATTAGTTCAGAAGAATTTATAAGAGTTATAAGTTAATGTATGAACTTTTATTTACGTCAATTAAAGGGTCTGACTGTATGCAGACTGAATGAGTAACTCTGCATCGTGAAGCGGAATTATTAAACAAGTGAGATGTCGTACCCTGTATTCTTCTGTTACATAATTTTATTTTTCGAACTTCATTCTCGTCTTATTGTCATGATAAATGTTGAGAAATAAATCCGGTCTACAGGCAGTAGGCAATGAGGGCGAGTCTTCAGACTGCTCATCTTTTTACATGTCCTCAAAAGCAAAGGTCAGTTCGTTCGTACATACCTTTCATTTCTTTTACGAACTTTAAATAAATCTCTTTTAAATATGAATGGTTACCTGAAGTGCACTTTGACAAATACTTCCCATTCAAACGCCTACAGCATAGAAATTAATGACTTTAAGTGGAAACGAGGCGGAAAAAGTGGTCATCATTATATTCTTATTCTGGATATTATGAGATTAAGGACTTTATCATTTTTAGATGTTATCGTCGTTTTCATTCATCATCAGCAGACATGGTAATCACTGATATTCAAAACCAACAAAAAAAATATTCTTTAACTTGAAAGAAACAAAAAATAAAATTAAACGAAGGTAATAAATCTGGTTGTTTTTGACGGTAATGGTAAAAGGAAGATTTATGTTGCTCTAGAACTTTATATGAAGATCTTTTTTTTCTGAAATTACATATCAACGGTTCTCCGTTGCGACAAAAGCATTGAAGAAAATAAAGGAAAATGATTATGTTTTTTCAAAATAATATGCCTTGTCAGCAAGAAGAAAAAGAAAAGAAAAGAAAAGAAAAGAAAAAAAATTATTAGTCAGCATTACTCTAATCGAATTATGTATCGAACATAAATATATCATCTGTAAATATGAGTAACGTACGTTTTTCCTAGAGGAGTTTGATATTTAAGTTTTGTAAAAAAATAGATCAAGAACAGACATTTACCTGAAACGGATTCGATCAACGTGAGTAGAAATTTCAACGACTATCTCGGTTACAGAATTTTTATTAAAGAATTTTTAAATTTTTTCGTTACTAACTAGTATGATATAGCAGTGCAAGTGAGTTAAGTCCATGTTCTATTGAAAACTGATTCTACTATCGGGTTTCTCATACGTTAATGACCATAGATATTACCACTAATGTAATATATGATAGTCAAAAATTGAGAATACATACAAGTCAACCATACATTCATCGAACCCCGAGTGACATTCAATTTCCAGAGTAACGTTCTACTATGGGAATATGAAGTACAATCTAATTATATGCATTCTTTTCAATGAATAATTTTACCTATCGAATTCTTACGGTTCGATTACCAATCGATGTATGTGTTTTTCTTCTCAATATTTGTCTATCAAATTTCACAACAATTGCAAAACTATATACAGTTATTAATAGAGAAAAGTTCTGTTACTTTAATAATTATTTCTCTATGTTTTTTTAACATCTTTATCTATAAGTTGATGAATAAGTGAGTGTACACCATTTTAGAGATATTCCCATTTGTCTGTTTAATATAGAAATAATAAATTTTTACATAGATGCAAATCAATAATTATAGTACTGACTTTTCGATGTTAATATAAATCAATGAGTACAAAAGTTAATGCGCGATACTCATGATAATTTTCTATTTATTCTACCACTAACAGTGACATAAATTATTGATGTCAATCACATGAAAAACTAATCGGAAATGAAGGCTAGTTTTATTCAATGTTCTAAAAAATAAATTGACCTTTTCCATTGTTAGTTGATTCAGGTCATTGATTGATAAAAGAGTCGACAAATTTTATCTTAACAACAATTAAAAACTATTCGATTAGAGGCAAGAAATGCAAGTAAAAGATTCACTCTCACATCAAAGGTTGTATCGACCGATAAGAAATATATCGAATATTTTTCTAATGATGTTTTTGGTCGTGTTGTTTTAAAAAAAAATATATATTATTTCTCATCTAATTTCTAGATTTATTTTTCTGCTATTCTAACTGTAAAAAAAAAAATAATATACCAATGCCTGGTTGTATACTTTTTTTTTTCCGTTCTGTTTAAGAGACTTTTTTCTTCTCTAGTTTTTTTTTCGCCTTTTCTTTCGTAAATCATTGCGAATTTTCTCTTTTTCCAAAGTGTCAGATTTTTTTTTCTCTTTTTATCAAAGTAACTAATATAATTAGTTTTAGTTTTATTCTATTCTAGAACGATATGAGCAAGAGCATGCCAAAGCGTTGCGACCGAAAAGATGTTGTTATTATTGGTAAGTTTGCTCAATTAGATAGATAGTTTATTTAATGAACTTAGACATTTTTCTGTTTTTAAAAATAGGAAATGGTCCATCTGCAATTACTTTATCCTATATTTTATCGGGGAATTGGCCATATTGGAATGGATGTGCAATGTCAAATGAATATTTGAATATCAAATTAGAACAATTTGTTAAAGATAATTCACTCTTAGAACAGGTTAGTTTTCCATTCTCTTATAAATATTTCTCATACAAGTTTAGATAAATTATTTTAGGATTTAGAATTGTTATCAGATGGTTTAGAAGGTCGTACACGTAATCCAATAGCATTATTATTGGATTTTTTACTACATCCAGATGCAGATCTTGGCACTAATTCACCAACAAAGTTAAACTGGAAGCATGTTTCAAATCAACATATTGATCATGTGTGTATTGGACGTGGAACTCCCGGTGGTGTGTGGAATAAACTTACATCTCAACATCTATCAACAGTATCACTCGCAAATTGGATGGAATTACCTAACTATTCATTTTCAGAGTTTCGGCAATCAAGACGGAGTAGTTCAAATGAAAATAGTGATATACAACAACATCAACAAGATTCCAAACGTGCCACGTATGATGAAGTTCGTCACTATTACAAAGATTATGTAAGACGTCGTCAATTACAAAAGAATTTTCTCAATAACCGTGAAGTGACATCGATACAACGTGTTTGCGCGGAACCTGCTTATTATGATGAGGTGAAAGATGAAATACATCCAACAGAACTATTGTGGGAAATAAGAGGCTACAAAACAGATAAAGAACAAACACCATTTTGTCTACATGCAAAACATGTTGTATTAGCGACAGGTAAACATCTTGCTTACCTGCAGTTTATTCTATATGAATATTCTTTTTGATTTGACCATTTTATAGGCACAACTCAAGAGCAAACACGTTCACTTAATATAGTTAGTGATGAGCAACCACAATCATTTATCAAGTCAACCTTATGTGATATTGAACAGTTGATTGAAAATAAACAATTGACATCGCACAGTAAACCATTACTGGTAGTTGGATGTGGTTTATCAGCTATCGACGTTATTCTATTGTGTGAAAAATATTCCATACCAGTGATGCACGTATTCCGGAAAGCCATCGATGATCCAGATTTGGTATTTAACAAATTATCGTCGAATCTTTATCCGGATTATGAAAAATTATATGAAAAAATGAAACACGCTATTAAGCAACAGCAACAACAGTTAGCAAATACGCAAAAGGTAAACAGTGCTCCATTTTATTCACTGCGTTTGTGATATACTAAGCGCACGAAACGTTAAAAAAAAATGATCTTCATCTAATCTAATTTGCGTATTATATTCTAGCCTTTTCTTACATCATGCGAAAATATTGATGGCTGTATTTCGAAAAAGTCTTCTCCGTTGTATCAATGTTTCCATCAATGTGATATTATATCAATTAATGAACATAGCACTGTGATACGAGATTTGAAATTATCAACAAAAGCTCAATTGGTTCAGTATGAGTACGATATATCCTATGCAGTTAAACTGACTGGACCAGAAATTAAATTAAATTTCTTTGAGAATAATGGACAATATTTGGCAACGAATAAAACAAAAACATTACAGTCGAATGATAATCCTATATCAATTAATCCAATAACGTATGAGTGTACAGCATATGAGAATCTCTATGCGATAGGACCACTAGTCGGAGATAATCTAATAAGATTTTTGCAAGGTGGAGCATGTGCTGTGGCTGCTAGTCTATTGAAAAAACTGAAACCAACTAGTAGAAAAAGATCGATTACTGGAGCAACAATATTATCTAGACATAGGTGATCGTTTTTATGTAGTATGTAGAATGCGAATGAGTTATGGTCCATAGCTTGAGTGGTGCTTCTTTCTCTCCCTCTTCCTTTCTATTCTAAGAATAGAGCGAATTAGTTCGAATTAGTTGTCATGTTGTAGATATATTTTTATGTCTATGCATAGAATTAGCTTTTCTTTAGATATTTGTTTTAAGAACTTTAGTTGAGTAATATTTATTTTTAGCTAAAGTTGTTAGGTAAAATTTTTTAGAATGTCATTCGCGTCCCATTTTGAAGAACGAATTTTATTCATAACCTTTTCATCGAATTCTCCCTTATAAATATTTCTTTAGTTCTTCCTTCGAACTCGGTTGAATAAAAACTCAATTTCAGATGATGTGCGTCCAGTAGAATATCACCTTTCATTCGAACTTTTGCTTAGTAAAGAAAAATAAAGTTCGTTCACGTTAAGCGACCAAAGTAGTCACGAATATGGGAACTTTTTAAAAAAGCAGATTTGCTAGTCATCAAATATTTAATTCAATAATTTTTCAACCATTGCGGTGATTTTTCATATTGGTCTTTATTGTTCTTTTGGATAAACTGAAATAACCTGTAATAAGATACTTACCCATCTTCAGTATCATGTACTTGTTTGTCTAAAAAACGGGTAGCAGCAATGTGAATTCGTGTGAAGTGTTTGTTGCCATTATAGAACTGTGATTAACAAACGACCAAAAACTAAAAACCACTCACTATTTTTGTATTCAGTTTTTTGTTCATTCTGTTATTTTCGCTAGTATAGTTTTGAAGATAATGTTGAAAAGACCAAAATCGTGTATTAGTAAAGTTTATGATATAAATTACTATATTCGGTTGTAAAAGTTAGAATGTTTCTTTTTTTTTTGTGTCAAACGTTTTTTATAGATGAACAAACGATACTAGTGAAATTTCATGTTTAAAATGAACAACTATGTAACATAGAGGCAATGGAAATTTTTAAGCTTTGTATTGATTACATCATCGTGTTCTAAAACTATATATTGAATAAAGATAAAAATAATGAATGGAATAAATGAGAAACAAAACTCTTTATTTATTAAACGAAGATTTACCGAAAGTTCAGGCCTGGTCTGATAAATGCTATAATCCTCTTTACTACAGTAAATGTAAAGCTATTATGTTTTGTAGTAGTAGACAACGCTCTATAGTCATCACTTTACTACCTTTGTATAGTATGCCTGTCAGAGACTATGCGGAAGTTAAATACGCAGATCTAAAGCTCATTTTTAATGTCTCTGGGACGTCTCACGCCGAGTACTTACATCCACGAACGCACCCTATTGTCGACCTTATACGATATCATAGATGGTTACTATGTAAAACTGAACTCATGACTGCTTATCAGCCATTTCTTTCACTTCTAAACTATAGTTGTGTTGTATACTTGTTGACAACTGGTGCTAATATCAATAAACTTGAATCTGTCCATAATCAAGCAGCCGTAGCGGCTCTGGGCTCATCTAGCGATAGAGCATTGACAATTTTGTGGATTCATAATTTGCATGACTACTTTCAAATTATCCTTGAAAGATGTATAATAAAAATGATGTTTTTTGCGTCCTTTATTATTAAACAGGACGAAAACTATACATTATTGAATAAATAAAATTTGCGAGTTAAAACAGAAAAGACATTAAATGCATTGTACGCTTTTGAGTACACTCGTATTTATCGTTTAGTTACATTTCCAAAATCATTCATTGATTAATACTCAAATACAAATACTTAACTGCTCATCTACGAGTTCGTTCCAAGCATACCTCGTATAAATACTTTCATTGAGTTACATTGATTCAAAATAGATTCTACTTCGGATAATATGTGTAATTTTATGATAAGATCCAATAGATTTTAGATCTTTTGCCCATCAAGTTGATCAATATCCTCCCTTGCGACCATCCCACTTTACTTCTTTCTTTATAAAATACGTTTGTAAATTAACAATATTTTCTACTTTCTAGTGTGATTGCTATTCCTTGTGTTTGCTTCTTTTTTTATTTGCTGGCTTATATTATTTATTTGCCTATCAATTTCTTTATGATTTCTATGAATATCAAAAAGGCTACGCTGCTGCCAATAGCTGTTTAGTTACTTGTGTTGATATTTACCTTTAAATATTAATAAATAAAGTTTAAATCAACTCTAAGACTATGACTAAGACTGTTTTATTCATGAAAAGTGAGAGTCATCAAAGGTCACTGACCTGTAATAAATGACTCAAGCCAAACAACACAAAAAGAGTAATAAAAAAGAACAAAATAAATAACAGAACTAAGGTTAGAACCAGAAGAAGTAGAAAAAGAACAAATTTTTGAAAAAAACAATAAAAAAGAACAAATATAAATTCATAACTGACAAATGTTTCACTGGAACAGATACTGACATAAAGCTGTTTTGAAAGACGTTAAAGAAGAAAGACAAATAACTGACTCTGGGAGATTATTCCAATCAACAATAGTTGAATAAAAAAAAGAAGAAAGCACCGTTTGCGGAGAATACTCATCAACGGAAGATGGTATGCGAACATATTTAGAATGATGAAGACGTAAAGATGAGTAGTGACGACGATGAATAGTATAAAAAAAGAAACAGGACTTAGACGATGATAAATTTTGAAAAACTGTAAAGTCTCAAGTATTTACGACGAAGAGTGAGACTTGGAAGAGAAAGTTGAGATACAAGTAGAGAACTAGAAGAACGATAGTCACAATTGCGAGAAATAACACGAGAAGCAAGTTTGTTTAGAGAATCAAGAACAGTAAGAGAAAACGAACTGTCGTACAAGGCACAGCAATAGTCGATTTTAGGAAGAATAGAAGAAAGATAGATTCGACGCCGAACTTCAGTTGGAGCTAATCCAAAGACACGATTCAATGCTCCAAGCTTGCGCCGACAAGCAAGAGCAACGTCCTTGGCATGATCACTCCACCTAAGATCGTGCGAAACAAGAACACTAAGACAACGAATAGAAGACACAACAGAGAGAGGAGTACCATTGAGATACAATTGATTATAAACGTACGGAAAGCGGTTGAATGAGAAAGGAAGCCAACAACATTTAGAAACGTTTAAAGACATGAGATTGGAAGAAGACCAGTGAGAAACAGAGTTTATACAGTTTTGAACATGAGAAAAGTTAGAAGAATCAGTAGAGGAAAGAGGAACAATCAAAAAAACATCATCAGCAAAGAGACAGGTTTCACAATTAGGTGGAAGCGACAGAGGTAGATCATTAATAAAAATAAGAAATAAAAGAGGCCCAAGCACACTGTCTTGAGGAACACCAGAAGGAACAGAAGAAGAAGAGACAGAATTATTTACATGCACACACTGAGAACGGTTCGAAGCACAACAAAGAATCATCACACCACAACGAGAAAGTTTTTCTAACAAGAGAGAAACTCTTTATGTAGAGTCAGATTTGGCCAGAACCATAGCTGGAAAAGAAAGCAGGGAAGTGCAATTTTTGGAGAAAGTTCAAGGAGTTCTTACTGGCACTGAACAGCTTCATTAAAAAAATGCAAAAAGTCAATAGCAAACTGAAAACATGATTAAAAAGTTTCTGAATTCGAACTGCATCCTTTTTCTTCTACGGATAAAAAGAGCAGAGAATCGATGGTTAACTGAACTGTTTTATGTGAGATAAGACTACTTGATCTATCCAACTCGTAAACCTCGAATACATCAGTACTGTGAGGACTGACAAAATTCGGTCATGACTAAAGCTTCAGTATTTCGGCTTTGTTTTGATTGGTCATGCCCATTAAATACCGAAAAGGATCCAAAAAATACAGAAAGAGGATAGGAGAATCTGGTAATGCGACCTATCAAAATAACGGAATAAACTTCTAACCTTTTCTCTAAGAATGCGGCTTGGGCCAAGCAACAGCCTGTACTAGTAGTAGTTAGCTAAATAATAAATACATTAGCTAAGCTGATCCTTTATTACGCAGACGGAGAATGTGAGCTACAGGATTTTGGTAGCAGATAGACAGATGCAGGATGCGGGCTGATGGTTTGATTTGCGTTCAATTCATGAGACTGTGGAAATGGAACTGCAGGAGGGAGGTCGGCCCCTGTGCGCTGAAGAACTGCTAAAGCATGTTGGCATTTGCTCACACCCTGCTAAGGGTCGCGCTTTCTAGGAGAAAAGAAAGATCTTTATTTTTTTCAGCAGTTCCTAAACGAGAAAAGCTTGAACCCATGCAACAGCATTTGTGCTAGATGATCTTACAGAGAAAAATACCAACTTTCTCTGGATAGTTTCTCTTTGCCTACGTCTAAAAATTCTCAGGTGCATCTCTACCATCTTGTAAGTTTCTAAGATGATGAATGCTTTACTGTATTTTAGTGTTGAATACCACTGGCGAATATACTCAATATCGGTGGAGATGAAAATGTAGAAAATTAAATTTGTTATTTGTTCTCTCGTAAGTTCTGTCTTACAAAGTGTTATGAGAAGTCATGGGTATTTTTGACTTTCTCATGAATAATAAAATATGTGACAGTATAAACATTTATTAACGGTTTGAATTTCATAGGAATTAAGATGCTTTAAATAACTTACGAATAGTTTTAAAAATATCCACTTCAGCTTGCTTTGCTGATGGTGCTCCATGCCGTGTATTGGTTTTTACCTAAACGCTGAAACCTATTGTAAATGAAAGCCCGTTCAAATCCGAGTGATTGATCATATTAGATGTGCTATTTTTTTGGAAATAATAGCACATCATTGTTCGCCGACTACAACTTGGTACATTTTTGCAATCAAAATAACTCTTGGATCTAAAATTCTCCTGCAAGCCTATAGTTGCTAAAGTTCAGACTTTTGTTGAAAGAGATTAATTATCCTTGATTCTAACATCCTCGACTTAAGTCGACTTAGATCATTACACGTTGTGCTCTGCATCGCCTATTGCCACTAATCATAGAAAGAGTAAAAAAAGAGATGTTTTGGTAGGATTCAGA